CTTCTGTTTCCAAATTCATTTATCCTTTACTCTACTCTGTTTTATGCTTCTTTCACAGTGAGCAGCCAAGCTAGTTGAAATTAAGTGGTGAGAAACTCTAGGATGATATGAAACATTTTAGAACCAACCAGGAAGATTTTACCTGGAAATCTTAGTGATACAGGACAATCCCTGATGAACAGCAGATATATGAATTAAAAATATTAGTCTGCTGGGTGACCCAAGAAAGTTCTACCATACAAAATATACCACTGCTTATTCCAAAGAGGATTTAAGATAGCTTATCTTAATAATTAAACAACAAAATTCAAATAAATGTAGAAACTAAGAACATAAAGAGTAAAATATATAAGTTCCAACCTCAATTTTTAACATAACTATAAACTGAGCATCAAATTTCTTCCCAAGTTTCTTGGTAACTGAGTCTTAAAAGGATATATAACACATCATTCTTATTAATGTAACAAAGGAAGTCCATCAGTTCCATAAGGGAAATCTTGCAATACTCTTATCTGTTTACATATCTTTACCTCACAGCAAACATCTTGAGGAAATGTTTTATATCTAGCTAATTTCAATTTCCCATTTTAAAAAATGGCAAAATGCATTTAAGAAATACTTGGGACTCCAAGGTAGTTAGAAGTTGGGAAAGTGACCCAAAAGAGCACAACACCAACCTCTGTTCTTGTCTATTTTCCCCTTGGAAGTACCTCATACAAATGTTTTTTGTAAGATGCGCTTGTACATGACTACCAAAGTATGTGCTAATGATACCTCAGTACAGTTTCCTTTTAGATTCAGATATTATGTTAAAGGATTTATATGAAAAATAGATGTAAAGCTGATACAATTTTAAGTTCTCCTCCTGCCTCACTGGCTGCTCCTTCTCAGTCTCCTTTGCTGGACTTTCCTTAACAATCTCTAAATTTTGGAATGCCCTTGTTTCAGGCTGGGACCTCTTCTCTAACCCAGTCCTTACATGCCTCCATCCAGTCTAATACCTTAAATCCCTAAATTTGTATCATAAGCTTTGACACACTGCCCCGAATTCCAGGCTCATATTTCTGACTTCCCTGTATTATCTCCATTTGGATGACTAACAGGCATCTGGAACCTAAACTCCCAGGACAAAACTCTTGAGTTGCCTCACTCAAATCTGATCACTCTTTTATTAGTCTTCAATATGACTCCTCTAACCTTCCAACCTTCTGGCTGGAGTCATCCTGAATGCCCCTTACTGAAAACCCAACTCCAATATGTCAAGAGACCCTATTGGTTCCATCTTGGAAGTGTACTCACTACATCTCACCACATCCACTATAACACTGGTTCAAACACTATCATCTCCTTCCTGGATCCAAAGTCCTCCTAACTGGCTTTTTTACTTCCATTCTAGTTTTTTTTTTTATCCATAAAGAAGCCAGAAAACTTTGCAATAGCTTTCTATCTCCTTCTAAATAAGTCCTGAAGTCCTTAATTCAAGGTTTTGGCTTCCAAGACCCTACACAACTGGCGCACTGCTAGCTTTCCTGCCCTCATTTCCTGCCACTCTCTACTTACTCTCCCTGTTCCAATTCTATCTGCTCTTTGCTGCTCTTAGAAGAATATAAGTATGATCATCTGCAGAGCTTTAGAACCTGCTATTCCCACTCCCTGGCATACTCTTCCTCAGATGATCACCTGGCTTGCTCTCCTCCTTCTGGCTTTTCTAATGTCAAATTACCAGACAGTGTATCTTTTACCATTCTATGGGAGATGGTACTTCCTTCCCCCACATTCTTGCTATTCTGTTCTCATAAAGATTTATTTTTCTTCTCAGCAGTTATCACCACATGACATCATGTAATATATGTATACTGCCCACATTTGTAACAATTCTACATGGGCAGGCCTTTGCATCTATTGTACCCTCAGCTCCTACACCAGTGCTTAACATGTAGAAGGCAATTAATATACATTTGTTCAATATATGAATGGATGAATAAATGAAACATTTCTAAATTGAACATATTTGTTTTACAGAAATTTTTTCAGGCTACATCTCTGATCACCAGCCTGCCTATCAATATAATGAATTGCCTAAGATAAGAAACTTTTATTCAAATCTTGCTATGTGAAAGGATTTCAAGCCTCAGTGAACACTAGAAATTTTAGCAATTTATTGAGCAGGCTCTCTTGTTGAGGCAGTAAGGGCTGTTAATCAGAAGAATCTCAATTGTTTCCTCAAAAAATGTTTTTATATATTATCTTTTATAGTTGATATTTATTTTTACACATTTATGTTCTTTTAATAGGAAGTTCAGAAACTAACAAAACTATCTGTAACAGAACTCAGTATAGCTGGTAGTCAAATTTCATCCACTTTACTTCACAAGAATGGGTACTTTTTGTTTCGAATGAATAAACAAAATAATGACCTAAGGCTCCCTGGAATTCAGGTCTATGTTCTTTACTAGTGATATCCTATAGATACTTCTTAACGGATTTTTAAATGCTATCAAGTTACTACTTTGTGGAAGCCAAATAATACTCTTCTTGTAGTGATTCAATTAACAATTTCAAATATTTGCAATTGTTATCTACACAGACATTTCCTGTTTTAAAATTGTTTGTAGTTCTGTGAAGATGATTCTAGAGAAACAGTTTCTGCTCTTCAGTGTTAAGTGAGCCTGGGGGTAATAAAAAAGTAAATACACTGGTCCAGTGAAATTGTCAGTCTAAATTGTTACAAGATTTCCTGAATCAAGGGAATAATTTCAGGAAGCAGGACTCTGAAATCAACGTGACTACCACATAATCTTAAATTAAAATGTCTATCTTTACCATAAAAATTAGTGTTTCATGCAAAAGAAATATACACTGAAAGCAAGAAGGGAAAAAGCACCTCTATGCATGTACTCCCTAACTGGGCAAGCTGAAACATACAACATGGTATCTAGGCATCTGGATTTAAAGTGATGAAAAGAGCAGTTTGCATAAAACTTGCAAGAGCACTGTCTGTTGTATAAAAATTCAAAATGGATAAAAGATCTAAATGTTAAGAAAGAAACATTTAATCTGCTATTAACTGAGATGGAGTGTATTTATGTCTGGAGTGCTAAAGCACTAGTTACAATAAAAAATATCAAGTAGAATTATCTTACTGTGAAGTTAGTTTCATAACTTTATCATAAGTGAGTTTTATGTATGTACACAGAAGTGCAAGTGAGGATAGCCTCAATAGTATGTGTTTTATTCTCTTGTTTTGAGGGCACAGATATTGTTTGTTGAACTGGTCTCTACATTATATAAATATCACAAAGAAGTTGTTAAAAGGAAAAATATTAGAGTTCAGAAGCAGGAGAAACAGAAGGTGAAATGGGTTGATGTAAAGAGAACAACAGATGGATATCTGATGTCTGTCCCTTCTCCTCCCTTTCCCAAAGTTTAGTTTCTATCAGGGACCCCTGTGGTTCTTTCTGATCAAAATGACTCTGCCCTAGTTCAACAAAATGGCCATAGTGATTAGTTCAAGGGCAAGAATGCAATCAAAGATAGTAAAAAGAGTAAGTTTCATTATTTTTACTAAGAATCATGATGGTCAAAGTTGTTCACTCTCTCCTTAGATGTAAACAGAGTGTTCATTGCCTCAGCTCAATAAGGGTGCATTTAGTCTTTTAGTTAGGCAACAATGCCTTAGAATGGTAATACTTCTCTAAAGACAGAACGATGGTAGGAAATTAGGACTTTGGGCAATATTGTAGATATTGATAATGAGCCAAAGCAGTAAGTCTTGTTTAAATCCAGCCCTACCTCTGGACTTTTCAGTTATAGAAGTCAATGAGTTCTCGTTATCACTTAGACTACTTTGAAATTTTGAGTTCAGGTACTTGCAAATGAAAGAATTCTAACAGACACAAAGAAAATTCTATAAAAGGTATGAAGTGTTTTTAATCTAAAAAAAGTCACTAAAATCAGCAGTTCAATGCACTCACAGATGCAAAGTTTAAAAAAGTTTTTATAATAACTGGCAAGTGTAACAACGTTGAACAGGAGAATCATTGAAAGGTTTCTTTTTGAATTTCCTTGAAGTAGAATTACTTACCCTGAAGTATACTATGTCTATATTCTATCTTGTGTTGGAGATTCTTCCTGAAAAAAAGAAAAGAAAAAAGTAACAAAAATAAGATCTAATATTGCAATTACTAACAATTAATAAGACTATTTTAACTAACCTAGAAACTAAGTAGCCTACAAATAAGATTTGGCTCCAAAAGGCCTCTTATTGAAAAGCACTTCCTCTTTAATTGTGGTACTTATTGAGTGCCCACTCCGTGCCAAATGTATTTTTGGATATATAAAGTACTGAACAAGATAACTTCAAACCTCAAGAAATTACACTCTATAAAGACAAGGTGAGATAAAACACAATATATCATGCTTCTCAGATCCAACATAGTATATTTCTAAAATCTTATGCATCACACACACAAAAATATACAAACAGCTCTAATATAGCTAACAAATCCCAATTCTGTCATATATATTCATATACATATCCAGAAAGATACTTCTAGGGCCATTCTTGAATCCAAAGAAAAAGCCATTTATGTAATGTTTCTAAAGAATACCAATCGTTTGTTATGAGAAAACAGGAAAGTCAATTTTGTTGAAAAAGTCATATTTTGAAGTCAAACCAAAATTACTTTTTAAAGATCATTTTTATTATATGCACTTATTTTTATCCTGTCTGTTATTTAATTAAACACTTGTTTGGGGTATATGACATTCTCCAGATAACACAAAACTTCTAGCAGCAAAAATCCATAGCAACTGGTAAACCATTACTCACTTGATTAGCACCCCTCTCTTAAGTGAAAAACAAAGGGTGACTAAGATACACTAATGATAGATACATGCTGAAGTGTACAACTTTCTAATATGTCAGAAATTATTATTTTTATACAATGAAGTTTCATTTGTGTATTCATTTAGTAAGTACTGGCTGAATGCTTCACTATATTCTGGCTCTAAGGTGGCATTGAGGCTGAAATAATTATCAAGATACATTACCCTTAAAGAGAGGCTCAGGGGGCAACAGCAGGACAGACATTAGATAAGTATTTTTTAAAATGAAAAATAACAACTTTTTGAAGATGAGAAATATTCCTTAAGATAAGTTTTTAGTCTGCCTGCTGCGCAAGGGCAAGGACCCGAGTTCAATCCCTGGAACCAAAAAAAAAAAAAAGATAGTTTTTAGTAAGTACTGAATCAAGCCATAGACCTTCTCTTTTTTGGGCTAAATAACCTCATTTTTCTTTTCATTTGGGAAAATAGTAGGTTATATACAGATTTAAGTTTTTCTGTAAATCCTCCCATTCAATTTTATACTTCCACACCTATTCTATAAAAATAGCCAAAGTTCCAGGAAGCAGTCCTCTAACCTCTGACATAGTCTATGAATCACAGGATGTAAATACTAGGGATGATCTCAGAGAGGTTAGTTCGCTGCCTTAGGTGGCAGATGAGCAATGTAACCCTAAGGTGGTAAAGTTCTTGCCCAGGGTCTGAGCATTCCAACTTAGGTAGCGGCAATATTAAGAGAGAGAGGTCCAGGCAAATTTATGAACTGGATTAAAGAAACATTTCTATAATAATCAGATGATTAAATGTCTCATTTATAAATTTCTGTATGGGATTTCATTGAAAAATTCCTAGATTATTATTTTTTAAAAGTGTATGCTTTGTGTTTAAAATCTTTCATTAAAAATTATACTTTAAAAGTATATTATTTTTCTCCTCTGTGCCTTCTGCACTGAGGTACTGATGAACAAAGTAAAATAATTTCTAATCATACAGAACCATTTGCTTAAATCCCTGGCCCTCATTTGCTTTATACATATTTGTCTTCTTGTTTTAGCAGTGCTTAATATTTTACATTTGCTCCAAATACTTTTTTCATCATCATAATTTGTTAGCCAGTAGGAAATAATTACAAAAACCTAACTTTAAACAAGTTGATAAAATCCAAAAATAAGAGTACTGCTGTTTGAGAAGTGTGGTGACAAGGGAACCTATTTTCCACAGGCTCTAACTAGAGTTGTAACTCCTTAGGTTCAATCACCTCTCAAAGAAAACCCTATCCAGGCATGGTGGCACATGCCTGTAATCTCTACTTGAGAGACTGAGCCAGGAAGACTGCAAGTTTGAGCCCAGCCTGGGCAACTTATGAAGAAAAACATGGAGGTGGGAAGAAGATGAGTTCCAGTAAAAACTCTGGAATCTCTATAACACTGTTGAACAGACCTTTCTGTAATGAGAAAACTTTTCCCTTTCTGTCCTGTCGAGTACAGTAGACACTGACAATATGTGGTCATTAAGAACTTGAAATGTAGCCAAGAGAGCTGAGGACCTGAATTTTAAATTTAATTTTGATTAATTAACAGTTAAATGTAAGTAGTCATATGTGGCTAGTATGGCTATCATATTGAACAATACGAAGAAAAGGAAATAGAACAGAGGAAAGGAAATAGAAAAAACAAGAAAAGGAAATAGATCCTCCTTGCCAAGCCAAGATTAATTTAAAATTAGATTAACTTAACACCTCCAAACATTCTCTTACAGACTGACCTCCCCAAAAAAGCAAAAATCTTATAGATAGAAGTGCTATTATTGAAAGTAGAAGTATAGGGACTAAAATCTGATTAGGGTGATGTCTACAATTAGAGTTCTAGCTTGGCCACCTGCCTATTGGCTGTCTAAGCTTCAGTTCATCTATTTTAAAAAGGGAGTAACAATAGAACCTATACTCAGATGAAACTGCTGTGAAATTCCATGAGGCAAAACAGTAAGCCCTTAGTCTACAGGCTTGGTAGGTGGTCAGTAACTAACATTTGTCATCGATTCATTCTTCGCTTTTTCAAAAAATAGTCACAAAGTACTAATTATATGTCAGGGGCTGTGTCAGAGTCAGTGACATTCCTTATGGCTACTACTACAACATTTTAAGAATAACTTTTCCTACAATATGAGCATTAAGCAGTGCAGGAGTGCACTGCAGTTAATTATGGACATAACTCAACAGTTTTGAGAAGTGGAAAAGATTCTACATAAGCTTGTGTAGTTGGTGTAATTAACCCAAATTTTACTTGTTGATGGAAAAGAAACTTCAAACTTGAAAAAATAAAATGGACAACTTGGATGTGATGAAGAGAGCTGCAAATAAACAAAGCTACATTGATGATTTGTGGAATGATCTTTCCTTAGTAGACATGCTGGCTTGTCAAATTCAGTCCTTATTAAAGTACAATTAATGCTGGGCATCAGGGAAGAAGGAACAAAAGAATGGATGACATTAATACCAAAGGATTCTTCACTTTTAATGTGGGAAAAAATATCACTGGTCATTTGAGGCTTTTTTGGATAACAATTCCTTTTGAAAAATAATTCAAACCTACTAATACATGTACAAGAAAGAACACTGAAATTCCATATACTTTGAGATTCTCCAAATGTTAACATTCTACATGGATGCCTACCTGTCTACCCAGAGTAACCTGAGATCCAAAAGCCTTTCCTCTTCCTTTTAAATATGTTTGCATACTTCAGGTCCCACATGGTCCTTATCTTTTCCCAGTTTGCCCTTAACTATTGAGCAGGATTACTAACGGTTAAATATGGTCTGAATTGTTTGCTAGTAGGGCCTCCTGCAAATGCTCTTTTAGGACTCTTAAGTAACTAAATGTTGGTCTTTAAAAACAAGTGAAGAAATGAAATCAAGGGAATTAACATTGAGACTCAAGTAGTTTATAACCTCATACTGGTTAAGATTGCTGATCTCAGTTGTCAGGCTAGAAAAATTAAAAGGCACAATAATGCTAAAAGGGAAAGTGAAGATACAGTATCAGAAAACAGAGGATACAGGTTTAACCTTAAAAGTTTTAGGTGAGGCTTCCCCAATTTGTAGTAACTTGGGATACACCCACAGTTGTATTCACAAATTCTCATTTACATCCTCTAACTTCACACTCTTCCTAGGAAAAGGAAAGCCATTTCAGAATAAATGAATGAATAAGAAAAAAGTACTATAGTTGCATATTCCAAAAAAGGGCTGAAAATGTATTATGAAATTTTATGTTCAAAAAAATGAAAGAAAATTATCAGCTCCATGTGTAGATTTTCATCTGCCTAAGGAGAAAATATTTTTCTTCGAGGAACTGGTAACTAGTTAAGTTGGTGCTTTTCCATATTTAACTTAGACACCAAAATTCCCATTAAAACAAAAGAATATCAGTAAAAATTGTGCTAGCTATTTTATTGACAATAAAGACAAATAGCCTCTGTGACAGGTTCAAAAGTATCCTGGTTTGGGTATTTTAAAAATTATTTTATTTTATTTTATTTATTTATTTTTTGGTACCAGGAATCCAACTCAGGGACTCCTGCTTGCCAGGCAGATGCTGTGCTGCTGAGGTACATTCCAGGCACCTCTTTTTTTTTTTTTATGATAAATACAACTCATAACCTTGACTAGTAATGAGAAAATGAGCTCAAACAGAAAAAAGTACATCACATGCAAAGACACACATTCAAAATGCAAACAAATTTTAGATATGTTTGGTTTACATATCAATTTAAATGTTAAAATAAGTGTTCTAAGTGCTAAATTCTTAAATTATCCTCACCTTCAAAGTCTTTCATAATTTCAGCCCCAAACCTTGGAGCCCAATCTTTCATTTCCACTCTAGGGGAGGAGTTTTTAGTTCTTTCTCATTGATGGCACTTGCTCACACCCTGTTTGCCAAGAATATTCCCCTAACTGCACTGCCTAGATTCAAATCATACCTCTTTAGGAAAGCAACTTTGAAAATCACTGGGGAATAGATCCAGAATGTATTGTCTATATTTACCATTTGGTACTTATCTCATAACTTCTAGTACTGTCATCTGAATTTCTGTAGATTCTGTATGTGAGATCGATCATGAAGTATTTGTTTTTATCTGTCTGGCTTTTTTTACTTAACATAATGTCCTCCTGGTTCCTACAGTTTGTCAAAAATGACAGGATTTCTCTTTTTTAAGGTCAAATGGTATTGAAATACATATACACATACACATTTAGATTGAGACTCTACCTTGGCTATTGTGAACAA